AGATGGCAGAAGCCTCCATTAAACGCTATCAAGCGCCATCTTTGTCGGAAACAAGGCCTATTTATCAGAAATGCATAAGTGTATGAATGTTTTGCACGAAGTCGTTATCGTACGTCATAGTGTGAAGTAAGGTTTGCTTTAAAGCTTACAGGTGGGTTTATTGAGGAGTCAACTTAAATACTGGCACACAGTTAATATGTAGGCAGTGCTGTTAATACGAAGGTATATTATAATTTTATTATTATAGATGATACATGTCATGTACACAATATGAACCTGCATATTTAATCACAATACAGACAATCAATGATATTGTTGTACAATTGTCCCGCCCACTACTTGATCAGACAGTCAGGGAACAGTAGGTTCCTTGTGGCTGCGTCCGGTGTGACGTCTGTTGCATGGTTTTCCTTTCCTGCACGGCACTAAAAGTATGGGCATTTACTTCTGCATACAAGTCGATCGTTTCTTCAGGTATGTGTTGACACAACCCTTACGCTGTCGGATGCTACATACATATATATGTCAGACATATGATACCATGTTTAGAATCATGCTTATATAGATATCTGAGGCTGATATACATAAACTGAGGTGTCACCCACTCACGACATTTGCTTCTCACATAGATGTAAATAATGGCTTTACGTACCCGTCTTTACATCTCAGTTTCAAGGAGTGAAGAAGACAATTGACAGGCGAACATCGTTTGCGAAGGCCTATGCCCCATTGCATACCTTCTCTTGATTATGATGAAGCATTCATTTGGTATTTTTCTTCCTTCCATTACCACTTTTCTAAGACTTTCTATTGATGAATGTCTGAGTCACTGTCAATGTGCTACTCAATATATTGTAGGTTATTCCGTTTCCATTGCTATGTGTGATTCACACGTGCCATAAAATACTGTATGCCGTCCAATATTACCATTACACGAAAGCCGTTATGAGGATGTACAAACTTAACATCATTGTCCAGATGTTCAGCAGAATAATTGATATTGCAAGATGCACCTTTTATAGGGAAGCTGTTCCCAATGTAAAACGAGGTGTTCAGCTTGAACGTTTAAACAGTATACACGCTAACGAGAAATATTCGTTTCATTTGTTAATCAGGTTATTGTTTTTTTAGCTTCGGAGAGTGACAAACGTTGGTTTTTCTGTTAACACAGCATACTTACACAGATATGATAGAGAGAAAAAAGTAAGTTTTACAAAGCCACATATTTACATGATTCTGGTGAGAATTAAGTCATTGTCTATAGATCGCTGTCTATAGATAAAGTAGTGATCGCAGGCTCCAGGGGATTATGTCACGTGATACAGAACCTATGAATTCAGCCCAGGTGTCAAGGTTCATATTCTCTATAATAGAGGTTATTCCACCTAGTAATGTCACAATCTTGACTTCGTCATCTGCACAGTCTTCGATACACATGTACTGTTCCAGGCTTAATGTGCCAAACAGATGCTCATAAAGAATGTTTCTTACATCAGCTAAACCTGTACAATATACTAGTTGGTGTTGTATTATATCATTGCATTCTTCATAGCACATTAAACACTGACCAGGTGTTATTTGTAGCATTCCTAGTTTCACAAGTGCATACACAGGTCTGGTTGGGATATTGTATAGTATACACATATTCCAAAGTCTATGTGGAACCAGTTTACTGTGAATTCTATAATATGATCTGTCCAATTCAAGGCGATCTTGCAGGCATGTATGCCAATGAGCGGTTTCATGCGCTGTTATCTTGGCCCGTATAGTTTTGTTCCACGCCTCCTTGGATGGAAACTGGTTAGTTTTCATAAAGAGATCAATTGTTTTCCATAATTCATATTTCTTGGCTACATTGATAAGATTGTGTGTTACATGCTCACATTTGTAACCGGCTGCTATATACTGAGCACACTTGAAATAGAATATCTGTTTAAAGGCATATCTGTGGGTGCTTCGGCATAATCTTTCCAAGGAACATCAGCTTCATTTTGTCGATAGTATCTGTCATAGTCCACAGTCCTAGAGTTTGAATAGTTGTAGCGGTCGGAGATCTCTGATGAAAATTTTGCAGTTTGTACAAAGTAGCGCTGGGTATTTTCAATGGTATTTGTGTCTGTACGAGACATATTTGACCACAGCTCACTCGCGTAGAAGGCACATGGAATAATTATGTTCAGCAGAATAATTGAAATTGCAAGATGCACTTTTTATAGGGAAACATCAGTTCAGGGCCCCGTTTCACAAAGCTCTCGTAAGCCTAAGATCTCGTAACTTTTCTCGTGGCATTCGTACCGCCTATGTTACAGTATAGGAGGTACGAATGCTACGAGACAAGTAACGAGATCTGAGGCTTACGAGAGCTCTGTGAAACGGGGCCCTGGACACTGTCCCCAATGTACAACGATTTCAGCTTGAACGTTTAAACAGTATACACGCTAACGAGAAATATTCGTTTCATTTGTTAATCAGGTTATTGTTTTGTCAGAAGGTCAGGCCACGTTCATGTAATTTGGTTACTTTGTTTACAGTTATTGTATTGTTTCAATATCAACATGAGTAACGAAACAAACTGATACGACACTCTTGGTTGATCGGAATGAGACTTCTCATTGTATGGAATGGGAAGCCGCCACAATCGTGACACTAACTGGCACTTCACAGAGAAATACTTGGGTGAATATGTCCAGTGAACATAACATACAACTACAATATACATAGATATAGAGACACCTTCATTGAGATCCTTAAAATATAAAGGCTGTGATAACGAATTGTTTCATGTCGTCTGTGAGCAGCCGGAGTAGCAGCCACTCGCCGTGCTCAATTACAGAGGAAACATATTCTGTCTGACCTGAAACAAGTGGTCTCCGATACGAATTTAAATCACTTTGAGATGTGCATTTTGTACTGTCGCCGATGTGTGTCCAGACATGTGTGGATGTAGGAGGCACGTTCACTTTGTACCGTATTTTTAACTACTACGTTTTGATACATTTGTGTTGCTTTGTAGTTTGCCTTACACTATATCAGAAACAGTGGCAATTGATTCTGTATATACATATGCTGCTGACAGGTTTATGTAAACTTTTTCCCTTTATATCCCAACATAACGCGTGGAGGTGTGAAATATTAAATCGCAGCAAAGGTTCGCCTTTTCTAGGCCGATCGTGTTTGACATGTTCATGTAGTGTGTTCATGTTCATGTAGTATGTTCATGTTCATGTAGTGCACACAAAACTACTTAACCTGTTAACACAGAATCAGAACGAGGTAATCAAATACCCCCAGTGCTACTGTGACAGCTCTAACCTGTATAACATCTATATGAATACCTGAGCGGTGTGGTAGATAGACTGCCTTCTGGGAGAGCGGTTAGTTTGTTCCATCCCCTCGTCAGGCCCAGGGGGCACTATAAGAGTGTTCTGCCTGGCGCGTGGTGCTATCTGTATGGTTCCTCATAAATCAAATTACAATCAAACACGGGTGAAGGAACCCTATGTAAATACTTCGAGTATTCTGAGGTTCGCCACAACAAAATACTTTGCTCGAGACGACCGTACTTTCATCATATCAATATTCATGCAAAGAGCATGCCCTTGAGGTGTGGAGCTACTACTGCGCTCTACAAATGTCCATATTATTATTATTATTATATCAAAGTTCGACACAACAGATAGAAACCCTTCGTAGTTTGTAGTAATACAGGAATCAGTCTGCCTACAAAACAATAATTCCTTGGGTATTCATCTAAAACTCGCGGCATAGTATCCCGATGGATTAATATCATTAAGCCTTCATAAGTTCGGAAGCATTCACACACTCATGTTCAAGCACATTCCCATGTGGGTGAAACATTCTGGATCCGACATTCAACTCCTTTACATCTCTCACATCAACTGTGCCAGCTTCACATAACGTGCATGAGTCCGCAGCTAACATTACAATGGACAGATCAAAATGTTCGCGACGACTGGCACGAATCTCACTATTTGAAATGTTGCTAAATCATGATATGATTTTGTCGTTCAGAAAACATTATAATTATAGGGCTATTAGGTACTGACCGACGATAACGTGGATGTACAATCAAATGTCAATTTAATTACAATTTTAATTACAAAATAACATGTTTAATGTCATACATTCCAATGTTGGCCTACATTTCCCATTTAACGATAATGACGTCTACTTTGAATATTGTTATGTTCATGGTCGTAACAGATTTAATACAATAACAAATACAAGCAAAACCTGTGACGGATTGGTGATACTTCAAAGTGAGGGTTTGATGTGGATACTGAAATAACTTCACACTAACAATTATTGGTGCATATGCAGTGGCGCTGAGTGAAAGGTCTAGAGATAGATCGGCGGAAATGAAACAACCGGTCAGGCTTTGCTTTCATGACTATCTATTTCACCATGAAAACAGGACAACGTAATTAACTGGGCATAGCGCCTCTCAGACGTTATTGCCAAAAACAAACACCAGCCGAGAGATATTACCATCTAATAATCAAATGCTCGTATAAACTCGAAATGATTATGCATCCACCATTAACCGCGATATTGGAACCCTTCGTGAAATAGTGATATTGTAACAGGATCATAACAAGCCTCAAGTGCTTACTGTGAAGGAAACGGTAGGAATGTAACGACTACGTTCGTAGTGTATTAGCTCAAGGGAACATATACGTTTTAGTCGACTTAAAGTGTGTGACTGATTGTTGGCACTGGTTAGGAATTACTTACCTTAAGATACAAATTGTGGCAGTGGCGCATATATCTGTAGCACAGGACATCTTTGTCATGATGACTTTCAGTGATCCATTCATATACTTTTCAAAACTATTTTGCTATTTATCCCATGTGCAATATGGTCTGGCGTATAATCGACATTACTGCCAGTGACGTTATATATTGATCATATTATAATTGATATGATAGAAAGATATAGATATTGTCCTGGAGTAACCGGCGGTTTTACTCTGTTCCAGGTGATCTGGGCATCTGGCCTATTGTAAGAATGACGACAAGTGTGTCCAGCGTGGAGCCAGCGTTTAATGTGACAGCGTCTCATTACAACGCCGACAATGTGACTGACATGAACATCACGACAGAACTACCTACTACCACACCGAGCCCATGGGGTAGGTTTGGGCCTATCGAGCAGTACGGGGAGTTCTGGGCTGGATATTACATCAATCTCTACTATCTGTGGGTCGTGTTTGCTGTGGGATTCCCAGGAAATATTGCAAGCTTTGTGACTGTATTGCGCATGCCTCCTCTGACGTCATCAACGGGATATGTTGCAGCTCTGGCGGTCATGGACAACCTTGGTATCATATGTAAACTGCTATTTCATCAATTGACGCTCCATGATGTTCAAATGGGACCAGGTGGTTGTCAGGCGTTATACTTCTTTGGTTCCTTCTTCATCATGTACGCCAACTGGATTCTGGTAGCGATGTCAGTGGAGCGTTTCATTGCCATCTGGTTCCCTCTACGCGTCACGACTCTGTGTACCGGCACCAAGTCCATCATCCTTATGGTCATCATAGCTTTCGTCATCATCAGCGCAGACCTTCATTTCCTGTGGACGTCTACAGTTGTGGTGGTCGGCAGTAAGGATGTTCGTTGTAGTTTCAAAGAAGAACACATGGAATTTATTGAGAAAATCTGGTACTGGATCGATGGTTGTCTGTATGCTATCATCCCCTGCATCCTTCTCGTCATGTTTAATGGACTTATCATCCTTGGCATCAGGAAGTCACGTAAAATCCAGAAAGATCTGACAAACAACAAAAGTGACCAGATGGCTGAGAAGTATCGCCAACAACGCCAGATCACTATCATGCTTATCGTCGTCTCTGTTGTGTTTGTTCTGCTGGTGTTACCAAACTGTATCTTCTACATCGCCAAACCCTACTGGGTTGTGGAAGCAGGATCGCATGGCCAGGCTGTTAATTACCTGGTCAACCAGTTGATATTTCTGCTGTCGGATTTCAATCATGCTATCAATTTCTACTTGTACTTTCTCACAGCCCGGCGCTTCAGACGGCGCTTCACTGACACCTTGTGTTGCCAAACATCGGGTCGCAAGCCTTTTACAAGCATCATGCGTACAGCCAACTCCAACATATCCAACACGTCGATATATACGACTCAAACATCAATGAATGGATTTGCGAGGGAGAGCGGCAACAACAACTCTAAGAAATACCACACAACTAGTACATGAGTGAGAGGCTGAGTGATTTCGCCACTTTGTTTAGTGTTCCAGTTGTATGACGGCGTGTGTTGCAAGTCTCCGACGTTTACCACAACCGTGAGCCAACGAGCATGGGATACGGGATTATGGTGCTGACAAACCTGATCAACGTAAACGGGCTAACCGGGATTCGAACCCACAATCATAAGGTACATGTTTGTCTAAGGGACGCTATTCTGCACAGCGAATTACGGCGGGTTAGACGACAGCCTCGCCCCTACTACATGAACGACATTCTATAGTAAATGATCAAATGATCCTCACGATTAGCAATAATGTCAGCTCTTTAGCATATAGTATGATATTTAACGAGGATTTGAAATCATGTCTTGCCAAACGTTGTAGATGCATGGTCATTCAAATATGACATTCAAGTCAAATTAAAAAAGACTCGGGGACTTATGGTGGCCAGTCGTCCAAGTTGCAGATTCGTCCCCCTGGGCGGTGTGTAATATTATGATCTTTGGTCTGATTACCAGGTTGCCACTGGTGATGATGTCTGGTTTGTGTTTGCTCGTGAGTTTCACAATAATACTGAACGTCTAAGATTGTCAGCAGTACGGGCATTCCTCCTTCATGGTACCGTGATATAGCTGAAATACTGTCCAAAGCAGGGGTAAACTCATTTCATTAATAATGAAAAATCGAATTGAAGTTTTGCGTCGAACTGGAGAGCATATGACAGAATGGAATATATTTCCCATGCACATGTCTAAATGAAATATATTTCTTGTGACCTATCTGATATATTGTCACGTCAGATACACATGTGAGGCCGGTTAGTATTGTCATAACTCTTGAATTACAATACTAGTGTCCACAGACCGTACGTCATGGCAAACTGTATAGTGAACAGCAATCCCCTGAATATTGTGTTAAGACGAGGTGAGATGGGCAGGAGGATGGGGTGTGAAAGTCATCAGTACTTCACCTGATGTGGTTGTACATTGCTTATACTGTGCTACGTGGAGACAGTTCCTGTGTGGGTTACAATAAGGTGGGATGGCTTGGTATATATGCGCTACAAGTGTAATTGTCATCATGCGGCAATAAACCATCATTGTTTCATCAATACTGGATTGACGTACATCCCATATAAAACATGTATCGCTTTAGTCGTTAGGGACAAATAATTTGGCCGTTTTTCCCTGAGGGAGTTACATAATTTCAGAAATCAGACAGGCAGTCTGCCCTTAGAAATGAGTTATCACACGTATTCATATGTATAAACATATTACCGTTAGTCGATGGCTATATCATAAATGTCCCTGTATCATGATCACAATGACGGCTGTATATGTGCAATGTTGCATCTGTCCCTTCATCGTTAACATGTTGATGGCTGCATAGTGTCTATGTTACATCTCGCCCTGCATGGTCACCAAGTTGTCATATCTAACCCTGTATCATGATTAAAGTGGTGGGTAATTGTCATTTGTATCAAATCTATCCCGGTAACACGAACAAGTTGCCGAATGTACATATATATCATATCTAGAAGTTGTTGAATATATGTCCTCTAAATTCAATCTACCCCTGTATAGTTAAGTCGTTGATATATGCACAGCGTACACAGTATATATTACATAAATTATTGTATTATTAACAAGCTTATAAATGCATATGTTACAGATTCGTTCATTAGATGTACATGTCAAATTGCAATATATATTCAGTGTGTATATCTGATATAAATAGCAAACTAAACTATAGATATTTTGCTGTTACAGGTGATCTGTATTGATAAATGTTTTAATGCTTAATCTGTCATATAACCACCAAACTCATTCGAATCTTTAGAATAAATGTACATGTATCCTTTGTAGATTAAGCTTCTGGTAATTTTGAAAGAAAGTTTGGTGTCTTTGGGATGTCAGTTGTTGCAATTAGGAGGTGTTGTCTGGAAGATAGATCTTTCCATTGTGTCAACATCTCCAATATGAGGGTTTCATGCTAAGCAAACGACTTGAAGTTTCCAATAATGAACTACCTGATGATCTGTCATTGGTATGTTCCTATTGGTGGGTTGTAGACACTGATGATTAGAGGGTGAGAATATTACCCCCAACTTGACGAAGGTGCTATTGCTGCACCTCTTTTCTTGTATTTACACATGTAGCCATTCAACAACCTTGACGCGTGTCTAACACATCTCTGAGTACATGGGCTGAACGTCACACATGACAGCATCAGCGTTTAAAATTCCCGCCTGCCCGACCGTCCGGACCGGTCTATTTTCATCTTGGACGGTCAAATTTCAAACGTAGCCTGTCCGGTGGTCTGGTAGACATTTTTACCCCTAACTGTAAATATTTCATAATATCAGACAGGTTCTCGTGTTGTCAGTTTGAGGTGTTTGAGGTATCATGAAAATTATGTTAAACTACATACGATTGTACAGTTCATGTTACGATAACCAGTCATAACACATGTACTTTTAGTTTACCTAAACTCGGTGCATTGCCTGTTAGTGCTATATAGTTCATTGCGATGCCTACAAACAGTGAATGGAGCTTGCACGAGTTGGAAATGGCAGTCACAGTTTTGTATTGTTGACAACCGGACAGGCAAGTTTGTATCCGGACTGGTAATTTTTTAAAGTTACCAGTCCGGCTGTCTGGCTTGGAATTTTGGGAGTTTTAAACACTGACAGCATACAACGGGATCACAATATACGTGAACATGATAACTATATATTACGCCAATACAACATATATAACCAGTCTTCACTATCCTCTGATCTAGACTCCAGTATGTGTGTTCGGCGACATACCTGGAAAAAATATATGAATGGAAAAGTCAGGGAATACCACGTCCGCCTTTATCAAAGCTGATTGATAGAATGTAAGACAAAACACATTAATGGCCATAGTGCATCAAAACTCTGTCACGCTATCTCACTAATATGCATACCATTATATTACAATAATAAATCATTTGTTTGTACTGATATATTTATTACTTATTTCTGTATTTTGAGTAATAGTTGTTATGAATACCTTAATATTTCAGTATATGTACATACATGGCAAAACTGGGGAAAGAGTTTGCCAGTTTGAATTTACATAATAATTCTCTGAGGTGAGGTGAGGTGAAATTGGGTTTAACGTCGTGCTTGAGAATATTTCGCTCATATGACGAAATAATTATCTGAAGTTTCTAAAGGTGGTAAAGTATTTTTGTAATTGACCGGGTAGATGACTATGAGCTGTCGATGCGCTTTACAATCGCATTTGCAACTAATTGCTGATTTTCACTGTAAATTCATAAGGTATATATAAACTTCAGTTTATGGAACATATCCCTATGATGATGCAGAGAATGTTATTCACAGTATTTTTATGAATCAGATACATTTTGATAAGATTATTTCGGAGATCGTGTTGATTTAATGTGAGTCAAAACCTGGTTGTTTCGTGATATCATGAAGTGATAAGAAATAGCATGGTCATGTTGTGCACAATTACTCATTTATAGCTCATGTATTACGTTATGTGTTCATTGCACTAAGCGTCCCTGCCTACGAAAAGTACCTTTGAGTTCTAAATCATTACAAATTGTATGTCTTTTCATATATTTTTTTCAGATGTGTTTGAAAGAAAGTTTGAATAAACACGGCACAGTGTTCTCATTAAGGAATTGCCTGTATATAGTTTGTCAATCCTTTGCAATACTAGAATAATAACTGATGCATTAGTTTATTATGTTGACGTCACAGTATTGGTTCTGTCAGTAATTGTATTTGTACAACCGTAAACTCTTATTGATTTTGTTGAATTTACACAGTCTTCATTGTACACTGTTAGACATATCGCAATAAATGTTGTTTGGAAAATGTTGATAATTTGATACTTTGTTGACATATGTTTTCACAGCCCTTATAGATGCAGCTAAAATCGAACCTACATTGAAATGCATTTAGACGTTCAAATCGATCACCAAAATGTTTAAATGAACAATAAAGTGCGATTGTTTATCAAATTGTTCTTCTTCTGGTAACTGTTGTCAATACATGTTCATTATTTGACTTGCATCCCGTCTGGTACCATCTGTATAACAACATCAACATAGGTACACGAGTGAGGTGCTGTCCAATATACCTTCTGCTAAACACAAACAGTAGCTAGCTGGACAATCATCGTCACATCTGACACAAACATGATCAGCACTCAACTTTCACTATAGTCTGGACTAACCCTGACATATACTCCAGACCTCAATGAAGTAGTGGATCCAGAATTAAACCAATCATTAAATGAAGACAAGTGTTGACGACAAACATCCTCTGCATAAAAATGTTTACGCTTGTAGAAGGTGAAACCAAAACATGTCCGATAGTAGCCTCGCACACGCACGCATGACGTCATTTCTGATGTTCATACAAATACAGACTACATTTCTCTGATATTGCAGGTGTTCCTTAAGTCAGATCGACAACCCTTGGAAAACACGGGATGACAGTTCGATTATTTGTATTGCAGAATGGACACACACAGCGTGGTTTCAATGTGGTTCCAAGTTCTATTTAGTGAAGTTTAAATCTGCAGGCAACCTAGCTCTACATCAAAGCATGTTTATTTCACAAAGATTGGTTGGTTGGTTGGTTTGTTGCTTGACGCCGGACTCCACAATAGTCCAGCTATATGACGGAGGTCTGTAACCAGACCATACAACAGTGATCAACAGCATAAGCATCGATCTACGCAATTGGGATACGATGGCATGTGTCATCTAAGTCAGCGAGCCTGAAAAAAACAACACGTTTAATGCCACTTATAGCTACGCCTAAATCCATGGTATAGTCATTGATAATGAACTTGTTGTTCACACACATGGAAGCTCACACCTCAAGGTCCTGCCTGCAATCGGTATGAGTGAGTGAGTGATATCCTTTATGTCATCCTACAGTATGTCTGTCATATCCCATAATGTTGGTTGAACGTGACTGCCGTTGGCCTGAAACATCTTCAGCCTATGTGAAACCCACGACAATACCACGGTACTTGTGTCTTGTGGCAGCAATAAGTCGTGACTACTGGGGCAGACTTACTCTGTCTGAGGGTTCTCACCACTGTAACGGGTCATTTCACCCCAAACACGTTCATACTAGCACAGTTCCACGCCAAGTCGTTTCACCCTGGTTGTTTCACCCCATTCAGAGGCTGCTTCACCCAATCAAAAAAATACTATTATTATCAACTATAACATTGTTTCAATACTTTATTAATCTATGTATAGTGT